AATATAATTTTATTAATGTTGCAAAGAGATTAACAACAACTTCTGTGCAATATCTACGAAAACAAAAAGTACATAGTAACAAATAAAAACAGTAAAACTTTTGTTTCTGTGCAGTAACAACCCTAAAAGTTTCAGTAGCTGATTAATTACAACAGTTACGGTAAAACTCTAGGCGGAATAACCAACAGTTTGAATTTCTACGCAGTTGCAATCTGAGTATTGCAACTGCGTAGTTACAGCAATTAAAAAAGTTCAACAAATAAAGACTGAATATAAAATCCGGGCTGAATGCCAAAAATAAAAATTTTTGGTTTGATGTTAAAAGGTGTTTAAATGCTAAACGCCAAACACTACACAATAAAACCGGACTAAGTGATTTTTAAAAGTAGTATCTACTTCTACATGAATTTGTAGAAGTAATATTTGCCTTCCACATGAATTTGTAGAAGTAGTACCTACTTCCATATGAAAGTAAACATCACTTAGTCTATTTTTTACTGTGTAGTGTTTGGCACATAGAAAACATTTTAACATCAAAACAAAAATTTTCATTTTTGACACTTAGCTCAGATTTTATATTCAGTCTTCAACTATTTACAACTTTTTGATTTTTTTACAGTTTCAGTTGACTCTGGAATAACAATGTATGGATCACTTAGTTTTTATTGGAAATCGTTATGCAACACGGATCTTTCATTGAATTATCATCAAAGTGACCCAACGCGTAATGAAAATGTTTTATTGACTATAGACAATAAATTTCATTTAAAACCTTGTTTTTTAAGGTTTTAAACAAATATATTTAGTTTTATAAAATTCGAAGTATATTTATTACGTTTTTTAAAAATCTATTTAGTGATCAAAAAAAATTGTAAAATTATAAACATATATATATATATATATATATATATATATATATATATATATATATATATATATATATATATATATATATATATAATATATATATATATATATATATATATATATATATATATATATATATATATATATATATATATATATACATTTTACTAGAAGGATACCCCGCACATTCGTGGAAATTATTGGTTGATGCATTTTTTAAAATTATTATTTTTTAATTGTTTCTAGGACATAAGTCGATATACATAACCCGCCACATAACTAACTCATAGCCTGCTCATAGTTATTAAAAAACCTATGGGTTAACCACACGCTTAATCACAAGTTACATTGCCTGCTACACAACTACTAAAATGCGCGCGGGCTACTTGCCCCTTACATAGTCCGGTATGTAACCTATTGCCAAACTTCTACAATGCCCGCTGAATACCCGGCCACTACGTATAAAATATAATTTAGTATAAAGTAAAATATAACATAAAATATAATGTAAAATAAAATGCAAAATATAATGTAAAAGATAATTTAAAATATGATATAAAATACAATCATTGTATTAATTGTGAGTATAACTACTTTTTATTTTACATTGTACTTTACATTATATTACATTAAAATATAATATAAAGTACAATGTAAAATAAATTATTCGCATATTGAGCAATAAAACAACCTTTGGCATTGTAAATTCGCAATTTAAAAACCAAACCACTCAGCACCCTTTTCTAGATGATGTCATAGATGATGTCATAAGTTTATGCAATCGAAATGAACTCAATCTAGAGAGCTTAATGTAAAATTAAAAAAATATAAAAATTATTGTGTTAACAAATATAATTCCTAAAAAAGATCTTCAAAAGTTAAGCTATGCAAGTGAGTTCTTTCATTGGAGCAAGTGAGTTCTTTCATTGGAGGAAGTGAGTTCTTTCATTGGAGGAAGTGAGTTTTTTCATTGGAGCAAGTGAGTTCTTTCATTTGGAGCAAGTGAGTTCTTTCATTGGAGCAAGTGAGTTCTTTCATTGGAGCAAGAGAGTTCTTTCATTGGAGGAAGTGAGTTCTTTCATTGGAGGAAAATCTTCAAAAATATTCTTTAAATATTCCAAGATAAAAACTTATTTCTTGTCAAAAATGTAACTTTATAATAATTTACCTTGTATTATATACAGCGGGTGATTAATAAATATAAATATAAAATAATATAAAATGTAAAATTAGTAGTTACACACGCAATTTTATTTGACGTTTTTTGACGTCAAAATGAAACGGTACAAAAAACTGTTTAATGACGCCAAAAAACGTCTAATTAAAGTACAATGGCGCTTTTTTTTAATTATTTAAAACGTTTTTTTTTTTTTCACTAAAACGACCATAAGTCCTTATTAAATTAACTTTTAAAATTTTTTTAATCGACTACGATCCCTTTTTAATCGACTAAAAACAAATAGTTTAAAATAGCATTCTGATTTTTTAAAATATAAAAATATTGCACGAAAACAAAATGCTCGTTCCGTTATTGCAAAAAAGGAATAGAAAAATGTAAAAATTGAAAAATTCATAAAAAACAAATAAGCAATGTTGTTATTGATAAAGTTTATTGTTACGATAACCAAACTGACGACTATAAATGGCCAGCATAAAAAACCTTATTATGTGGAGACTCTGCCCTAATGGGTATTAACAAAAAAGAAGGCATCAGCTAGGCATTTTAATCTAATTCTCCTTTGAAAAAAAGAATCTTCTAAAATTATCCTGCATATTGGAACGAATAATTATAAATGTATAGTATAAAAGAACACGTAAAAGTATAAACAATTCGTCTAAAGCTTCCATGGAAAAATTAAAAGATTGTGTTTCCTTCATTTTGAAATCGAACCCATCTTGTTCAATAATTTTATCTGCACCAATTTGTCAATTTGATAAGGCAAAAGGTCAACTGACATTAAGAAAAATTTTCAACTGACGACAATACGTTTAGCCAATAAATTAAAACTGAGAAATTAAAATATTATTGATAACTCAAGTTTGTCTAATAAACACCTGGGGCTTCGTGGTCTCTACCATAATACGCGAGATTAGCCCTGAACCTTATTGCATATCTGAAGTCTATTTGATAGATATTCCCATGTGATTTTGGATCACCAAACTTAGCTACCTTAGCAACTAAGATCTTCATATCAATGAAGATCTTAGTTTTAATTCTGATTTGGATGAATCAAGGGCCGATTATCTGAAAAATGTCAGTTGTTAGCGTTTATAAATATCAGCGTAGTTAATGTTAATACAATGTTAGCGTTTATAAATATCAGCGTAGTTAATGTTAATACAATGTTAGTGTTTATAAATATTAATTCAATCCGTAAAAAATTTTCAGATATTACTATCTTTATAAATAAAACTGTTGAATTACTTATCATTAATGAAACTAAACTAAATAACTTATTTTCAAATAATCAGTTTATATATTCAAATTATAAAACCCTCTATCGCCTGGATATTTCTCAATATAGCAAAGACATTCTTGTCTTCATACATTGATGATAATATTCCTTCTAATAGGTTAACAAAAAAGGATTTTATTTATGACATTCGAATTATTACTTTTGAAATTAAACTAAGAATGCGGAAATGGATAGTGATAGACTGTTTACAAACCCCCAAATTAGAACTGTGATTATTTATTTTGAAGCTTTTTAGTCTTTTTTGGCTTTTTTATTGGCATAATTAATATATATATATATATATATATATATATATATATTATATATATATATATATATATATATATATATATATATACATATACTCATATAGTGTCGCTTTAAGAGCATTTTAATGTAAAAAAAGTCTCTTACGACTACAATTTTAATTACTCGTCTCTTAAGCTGTTTTTGATTGTCGTCGAAATGTCAAAGCAATTAATTTATGCGGAAGTACATTAAATTTAATTGTTTTTTAACAAATTTTTAAAAAACCGCAATTATAACGACTAGAAAGTTTTTTTTAATTAGTGGTGTTTTTGTTATTGATTTAATAAAAAACATTTTTTAAACATGCGTAAATGTTGCTACATCGACTATCTTATAGCTTGACTCGCAACGGAGTGCTGCTACATCGACTGACAAATAGCCTGACTCGCAACGGAGTGCTGCTACATCGACTGACAAATAGCCTGACTCGTAATGGAGTGCTGCTACATCGACTGACAAATAGCCTGACTCGCAAGGGAATGCTGCTACATCGACTGACAAATAGCCTGACTCGCAAGGGAGTGCTGCTACAACGACTGACAAATAGCCTGACTCGCAAGAGAGTGCTGCTACATCGACTGAGGGTTTGGTTTGGCCAGGCAGTCTATCAATTAAAAAAAAAAATTTAATTTTTAAAACTTTTTCTGGTCTAGTTTATTAACGCGCTCTTTAAAACTACAGTTTATGGGAAATATTTTTTGATGCTACGCAAGAGACATGCAAGACTATATATATATATATATATATATATATATATATATATATATATATATATATATATATATATATATATATATATATATATATATATATATATATATATATATATATATATATATATATATATATATATATATATATATATATATATATATATATATATATATATATATATATATATATATATATATATATATATATATATATATATATATAGCTATTACTATTATTATTATATACTCATTATTATTATATACTCATTATTTATATATATATATATATATATATATATATATATATATATATATATATATATATATATATATATATATATATATATATATATATATATATATATATATATATATATATATATAGCTATTACTATTATTATTATATACTCATTATTTAAATAAATTTCAATAAATTTTAATAATGACGACAATAAAAACCGGGTAGCGTAATTATAAAAATAGATTTTCCAAACGATTGATTTCTAAATAAAAACCGATTAAAAGACATTTTAAAAATTAGTGTAATTTTAACGGAAGATTTTGATAAGTTGAGTTTTGACGTTTTTAAAACTAAAAATAATATCTTTGCGATCTATTCCTGAGATATTACAATTCTTGCGAAAGTATTCCGAGAAGATATTGCAAGAATATATTGCGAGAAAATATATTGCGAAAATATATAAAATATATTGCGATTTTACAAGATAACTGCACTCTTTTATTATTTCGGATGTTTTTTACAAAAGTTAGGTATCTATACTTGTCGAAACAATCAATTTTATTTGAAGCTCCATATAAAGCAAAAAGAAAACAAATCCCGTTTGCAGCAATGTCTTGCGGTGAAGAGTTTATTTTTTGGAAACACTTCGGTGCAATTAGTTAAATCACGTTTTTCAAATAATATAAATGTGGTTGTTTTACCCTTTCTGTAAAATGCTGATGTGGTATCGCAGCCAGTAATTGCATGTAAAAAAAAGAAATGATTTTGACATTTTGGATAAGCAGATAAACTATTTGATTAATATATTTCTGTTGGTTGATGAGCTTTCCCGGGTTTTAAAAAGTAAATAATCTTATTAATTGGAGTCCGTGCAATCAGTAATACTAATAAGTCAACATCTTCACCGACAAAAATGGAATTATTTGTTGCATTGGATTGTTCTATGGCTGTTTCAATTATAAGGTCATCAGCGTCATTATCTGCTTGCTTCACTATAATATTTGCAACTGTAATTCCATGAGTATTGGAAAGGGTTTGTTGGAGCTGTCATAAATTGATCAAAAATGATATCAGGTGAAGAAGATATATTTGTGGTTCGAAAAAGGCTGTTCTTCAGCTTTAATATTTTTTTTATAATCAGTATAATCATCAAATACTACTATAGACACTCGTAGACAAAAATGTCTATGTACGTACTGAATGTATTTATCA